CAGGAAAAAACGTGCACAATTCTTGTACAATGTTAAAAAATTAACTGTTACTTTGGCAGCATCATTTACAACTAAATGTAATGAATTCTAGAGCTTTGTACCTTGTGCGTTTCGCACAAGGTACAAAGCTCTAGAATTTATTTTTCTTAAATTTACGATTTATGTATCCGTTGTCATAAAAATTTGTCTTTCCATTCTTTCCCGAGACTACAAATATTCAAGTACAAAGTAACCGGTTTCAACTTATTTCTATTTAAGAAGTAGTTAAATAATTAAGCGACTAAGGAATTAGGGACATAAATAAAACCCTGCTGAAAGAGCCGGAATTTTACTAAAAAGCTTAACCGAACTAATCTCTAGCCAAGTACAGTGGGGACCGATTTCTTCGTAATATTATATAATAAAGACGGAAATCTTTGCAGTTCAATGAGAGTAACTGTAAAGTAAATTTTGGAAATTTCCGTGGACACCTGGTCCTAAAACGAATTAGTTAGAAAACAAACGACGGACAATCTATTAAGTTTAACATATTTAAATTTTTACAGCTACGGCGAGAAACGTTTAAAGTTTACAACCACCCTGTCGCGTCCTTTGAGGTATACTAGTATGCGACAAAAGAGGCATTTGACAATCACCGGTATCGGTACCCTCGGGAATTGGCAGCCCGCGTCCATGCAGGCGCAGCACACCCAACTAAGGCGCTAGATAACCCAGGTATGCTCATCCGCCATGTTGGTCCTTAGAAAGCAGACGACTCTCGTAGAAGTTCAATAGAAGAGACACGAAAATAATCATAAATTCAACTGTATCTTAAGATTTTGCAAGGTCAAAATGATAAACTTTGCCAAAATTTAGTGCAACTAGTTATAAAATACAGCTAAATTTAAAAATCTTGGAATATGACGTCAAAAGGACCAATATGGCTGCACACGTGACGGAAGCGTATGAGCATACCTGGGTAATCTAGCGCCTTACACCCAACAGGACAGTCTCTGATTCCATCCATTAGCCACTCGTAGGGAGCTATTTGACTAAGTGGATTGTTTTAAGATTTAAAAAGTAAAGAATATTTTATGTTATTTTTATGTACGTTTCTTTACAAAGCTATATTTTTAATTATAATTTTCTTTAAAAGTATATTCATACAATTGAAGAATATTTTGTACCAGTCATGTACCAGTACATCCACCACACATTTTATTTCACCGAGTAAGTTTTTATTTTTAATTGTAGCCCTTTTTTTTAAACTCTTTCTTCCCTGTGGGCACTAAGAGGGCCTCTTTTTGCAAGCCCATTATGGGTTCGGCCAGGCCCACAATGGGGCTGCCGGGTGGTGAGGGACGGGGTTCGACATATCCGAACGGACCACCCCCGAAAAATTCTGGGGATTTTTCGACCCGTTCGGATTCGAACCCGGGTCCCCCAGAGCGGTAGGCTGCCACCTTGACCGCTTGACTTTAACTTTTGTTCTTTACAAATCAAAATATTTCTAATAAATAGCATATTTTACACCATTATCTGCCACATCAGGTATTTTTGTATTTTCCAATTTGTATTTAACATTAAATTTCAATTCACAGCCGTGTGTGAATTGGAAAATAGAAAAATACAGGAATTATATTTTAGCAGAATAGATATTTACGTCAGAAAAACTAGGAGGAGGATATTAATAAATATTAATCAGAATACATTGAACAAAAAATGTACGAAATTTCTTATACGTGCATAAATTTAGGTTTGAAACGTTACTGGCCGGATGGGGTTAATTTTTTTTAACTCTTTCCGTTTCGTGGGCAGTAAGTGGGCTTTTTCAGCAAGTCCTTTATGGGTTCGGCCAGGTCCACAATGGGGCGCCGGGTAGTGACGGACGAGGGACACCTTAACCGCTCGGCCATCCGGCCGTCCGATGGGGTTAGGGTGGCAGCCTACCGCTCTTGGGACCTCCGAAAAAATCCCCAGGAGTTTTTCGGGGGGTGGTCCGACCGCATATTTAACGAAATGCACGAAAAGGATCTTGAATGACAAGATTTTAATAATTTGATATAATTAGTCCTTTGGTTGCCAAAAACTACAGCTTCTGTAGAAAAAAAATCTATTCGCTCACGAATTTCCTGTGGTCAAAATAGAAGTCGATGTTAATTATTGAATCCACTAAAATAACGCTAATTATAAAAGCAAAATTGTGACTTACAATGTTAATTTAAAAAAAAATCAAAGACTTCCAGCCCCTAAGTTCTCCTGGTCTCGATTTTCGTCTAACTCCGTTCTCGAAGGACGGACATACGACAGTGGAAATATACATACAAATAATTTTGAAAATCGCAACCCAATAATTCTTCGTTATTACATTTTCGAAAACAGCTTTTAGAGAAATTTATGTATTATTTTTTACGTCACTAAATCAATATAATAATGTACTAATTGTACTAACTGCTAATAACGCTAATTTGAATTTCTTGATTGAATTTTAATAAGAGGGGCGCTCTATTTTATCACTTGCAGCTCCCCTTGCCATTTTGGCATCCAGAAATTATTGTTAGCCTAATATTTGCCAATTTCATTTTTAAAATTACTTGCTTAAGAAATTCAGACGATTTTTGCCTATTTTGGACAATTTTATCTTTAACAAAATCTAAAAGTATTTAATAGTTATGCTATTATGAAAGTTTCTCTCATAATAGTATAACTTGCATAATAGCAAACATATTTTCTTGTAACATAAAACTGTAAATAGGCCTACCTAACTTTTCAGATTTAAAATAACATTTGCCCTTACATACATAAACAGAAAATTAGATGATACAACTATGAAACAATTTAACTAAAGTGTAAGCTAGAAATTTAAATTTTCGTACCGGAAATTTAAAGGTTTTGGATGTTATTGTGAGTAAGCTAGCTTTGTGTCATAATTTGGTACAGTTTTCATGTGTAAAACAATTTTTCAAATGGTTAAAACTTTTTTATCTTAAAAGTGATGGAAATCATCAATATTTAATAAGCAAAAAATATTTTTCTTCTAAAGATATTTGAATGTGAAGATTTCTTACTGTACACTATACACAGTGCTATAGAATCATTCATATATTTCTGCCACAAGCTCTAAAACATATCATAATAAATTGGTAAGTGCTAACATTTTNCCGACTGTCGTCGAAGCCATTGCACTAAACAATCGAGATCTCCGACCTTTAACAAAAAAATATTAACCGTCTTCTACCGTTCGTTACAAAACATCTTATATTAATATTTTACGTATATTTATAATTATTAAAAAAAATAGAATGTAAGCAAAAAATATTTTTCTTCTAAAGATATTTGAATGTGAAGATTTCTTATACTGTACACTATACACAGTGCTATAGAATCATTCATATATTTCTGCCACAAGCTCTAAAACATATCATAATAAATTGGTAAGTGCTAACATTTTCATAAACATTTCATTATAAAAAAACGTACTTTTTACTTTTTTTTCTATTTCAAGAAAATTCTATTTAATATTGAAAATCTATCATCATTGTTCATCATGGACACACGAAAAGCAGACTGGATATGAGGAATGGCACTCTATGCATCTTGGATGTGTCGAGTGCCATCTCTCTATGAAAAATTTCCAAACTTTTCAATCTGAACTCAAAACTCTGCTACCTCAGAGCAGCAGTCTCTGGCACAAAAAGGTACAGTACCAGACACCTCTGTTCTAGAGAAGCTGGCAGTCTTTTTTACAAATGGTGACAATTCAGCAAAGGCATCTATTTGTTATACTGAAGGACCTAAGTTCAATTCTAGGTTGGATTCTCAAAGCTTTCATAGATGACCCAACTCTGATGAGAAGGAATGGATAACACCATCCATGTTTTATGAGTAGTTTATCCCATTATTCGACATTTGACCAATCCCATTACAAAAAAACTTGTAAAGAATAAAAGAAAAAACAAGCTCTCTTAAGTAAATAACTGAAAAACCTTTGCATAAATTTAAATCAAAAAGTATATTTCAGAATTTAATTAAGAATTTAAATTAAGAAAAATGTTTATTTTTGGTCAATTGCAATTAAATAAATATACATTAGTTTTAATAGGAAAGTTTTTTGTAATGAATTTAAATTACAACATTGAAATGTTTCTTAATACATATATATAATACATAATTATAATTTTTATCAATAAATATAGTATTTGAAAACACCATTTTTCATTTATTATTTATTCATTTTATTAAAGGAAATCATACTTATTCATTCTAAAACTTTTTAATTACTTATTAAAGATAAAAATATAACTACCAAATTCTTTTCAAAAGCACATTTAAAAAAAATTAATCTTTTTGTCACATACAATCATGAAAAAAGCAATGAAAAATTAAATGCAAACTGTAATTTTTACAAAAATACTCAAATTTTCAAATAAAAATCTCTGGAATTCTGTGACGTTTATAATCTCAAAAGAATAAATTAAAATTGATTAAATTTTAAAATTATCTTTAGATTTTTTCCACCAGTATTACTGCTGAAATATAAACTTGCAAGATGACCAGTTTACCAACATCTCTTATTACTGTTGGCTATCATTGAAATTAAAAATTTTAAATAAAGTTTTTGTTTTAATTCAGTTGCTATTTAATCATGAATTAAGCTGATGCACGTGGATGATGAAGTTAAGATGACAGTAAAGTTTCAATGACTGATCAAATCATCTCAAGAACAGAAATGATTGGTCCAATGCTCACTATCATCTTAATTTTCCTTTAACAACACTTATATTTCTAGAAATATTGTTATATACAAATAATCCATCAAAAAAACCATATATTTGTCCAGTGTGCATCAATTCTTTGTTGTTATATATTTAGAAAAATTGTTGTTATTCTATAATACTTTTAATACTATTTGATTTATTGAACTGAAGTTTTGATATTCGAGAGCTTTTTTGTCTATATAATCTCTTAAACCAAACAATTGAAAATGTGAGAAAAATCAATAATTTTCTAGAATTTTTTTCTTTAAATAATCTTGAAAAAGAATTTGGTAGTTTTGTATCTTAAAAATTTTAGGAAGAAGTCAAAGAATTTTGTCTTATATTTATATATTATCAGAAAATTTAAAAAACTGGACTTGAATTAAAAAACTTGAAAAGTATAAACCCCATTTTTCCATTATCTTTTTTCAAAAAATTTACATATTTTAATGTAAATTTTTTAATTTGTTAATTTTATAACAATGTTATAACAATAACAACACAATTTTTTATACTTTTATGATCTGTACAAAATAATGGCAAAATCAAATTCCTGGAAAATACCAAATATTTATGCACACAGATGACTTACTTTTTTTATATTTACAATGAAGAAATATCATAATAAATTTATAACACTCATTTCCAGAAAATCAGATAATTGCAATTGAAGAAATATTATCATAGGAAATTTTAATATTAAATGTCAACATATTGAATATTTGATCTTACATAGGGTGATGCAATTAAAACAAAATTTGATCTTCGATAACCTAATAAATCATATATACAAACTTTCATAGAAGTAATTAAACAGATACAATATGTTAGACAAAATGTTAAAAAATGTACATATAAACTGAAAGTGATTTTTTTTTTCCAGAGCAGTTTAGACCAATAGTAAATTAATATATTGAAATTCAATATAAGCTATATAATTAAGTTTCTGATTGAAATGCATCAATAATTACATCCAATTATTATTATACAAACGTTCTTAAAGCTTTCCAAGAAAGCCATGACACTACAGATAACTAAATGAAAATCATAATACAACTTCATGAATTGGATTTAATAATTCATAATGTCCTGAGTTATGCTGCACCACCCCTTATATTTTAAGTTACAATTGATTATAATAATAATAATAAATGTAACAGCATGGTTTATATTAAAATCTTTTAATAATTCATCCAGAAACTATTTTTTAAGTCAATATATATTATTATAAATACTGTATTATAATTCAATATTTGAAAGTATTTCAATGTTATGTTCTCATGCCAATGTGAATCTCAAAAATTCTATCAAAAATAAATTTAAACACAAATTATTGAATGTTTGAAAATAAATTTTATACTGTTTACAAATGGACGGTAAAGATGATCGCAATAACTGTCCTAAATAAATATTAAAACAAATTTTCCACAAAAATTTTATTTTGTACTGCTGTTTTTTGAATTTGAATGATTTTACATACTTTCACGACTTAACAGGAGATCATCCTCTTTTTTAAAAAATTTTCTTATTCCCATATAAATACTACCAGCGATCATGCACACAAATGGTGTTCCAAATCCAATTGCTATTGTCAAAATAAGAGCTATAGTTGGAGAGTCTTCTGGTGGAACTCCCAAGCCAATTGTCAGATACCTAAAAAAAATGTTAGCATTAATAATTATAATAGAGAATTCATGTTTTTAAATAAATTTTAATGAAAATGTATGCCAAATTAATTATTTCAAAAAAGTTTTTCTTTGTATTGAAAAAGTAAATTAATAAAAATTGCTTTACATACTACATACCTATATTTTTAAAATATTAAAATGTATAAAATTTGTATCATTTATAAATGAACTACTTTTTATCTTGTAAAATTCATCTGTTTGATAAAATCACATTTAAATTTTACTTACTTATAACAGTTCATAATTATTTTGATAATTTCATCTAAGTGTTATACATATTCTAAATACATCACAGTCCAAATGTGATCAATTATCTTTTAAAATAATTTAAATTTCATTCTTAAAAACTAAATTATATATATGTTAAGAGAGATTCAACTTATATTTTCCATTTATTGTTAATTTTTTTTTTTTTTTTCAGAATACCTTTATATACTTACCCAAAAATATAAGAATTTGTTATTAATCATTACTAAAATAGGAAATGACAATTATCATTATAATTATTATAAAAAATAATCATCATTTTAATGTTTTAAAATAATGATAGCACATTTGTACACACATGTATCAGAATTCTTTTTAGAAGTTTTTAGCTACTGGCTTTAACCAGTAATTAAAAACTTTTGTTAAAAAGTTTTCTGTTTAGTTGGAGAGTTGACAATTATTGACGTTTTTCTAATCTTCTATGGATTGTTTCATTTTGCTATCATGGAATATAGGAGGTTGCTAATTTCCATTCATTTTACTGTAATGTTATAAAGCCAAAGCCACAGAGTTGCTTTGAATAAATTTAAATTAATAAAGCTTACTTCATTATTATTTAAATCATGTCATAGAGAAGAATTCTGTTCCTAAAAGTTTATGCAAATTTATTAAAAAATGTAGAAGAAATAAGAAAAAACTTGGGAAATTACAACAATCAATAATGAAAATTTTTTAAATTCTACTGTTTCTAAATGGCTTGATTTGTTTTTGCTAATTTAAAGTTAACATATTAAAATTTTTAATATACTCTTTGATTTTCTTACTTCTAAGTTATTACAGTAGAGTGTCGATTTTCCAAAAGTCAATCATCCGAAAGAATTCCAGTCTGCAAATTTAAATTTTCGCCAGTGCTGTGGCACTTCAATCTTTGGCTATGTCTTGGGCTACCCAAATATTTTACGTTTTTGATAATAAATTAATATCTGAAGTATAATTTGTTATTGTTTTTATATTTTTCAATATATTTATTTTGTTTGTACAAATTAAAGAAATAATTTTTAACGATACAATAGTCTTTGTTAGGCTTAACATCGATGAAAATTCAACACAAAGTGACATGCAACGGATAAAAATTTTAACATCAGATACGTTTAACTATTTTTTCGTACATAAATCGGTTATCCGAAATATCAGTTATACGAACAACCTCAGTCCCCAATTGATTCGGAAAATCGACACTCTACTGTATTTTAATATTGATGGTACATATTGGGTTGTTCAGAAAGTAATTTCGTTTTTTCTTCCGTGGAAAAAAAACAATATTTTTATAATAAATAAATATTTTATTGAATTATATATCGACCATTTTTGTCAAATATCTATTGTCATTGTTTCTGGTAGTAGCATGATTTCACATCCATAAAAGTTTTGATTGTTGCTTACAAAAAACTGATCCAAGTGATTTTTGACATTGTCATTTCAAGTAAATGTCTTACAGTTTAAAAAAATTTGTACAGACTGGAACAAGTAATAATCTGAGTGTGCTCGATCTGGCAAATATGGTTGGTGTGATAGCACATCCCATCTAAGTTATAACAGTTTCTGACGAGTTACCAAACTTGTGTGAAATTTGACATTATCGTGGTAAAACACTACACCTGTTTTGTTGATCAATTCTGGCCGCTTTTTCTGTTGGATGATATTACTCAATTTGTTTACTCGATGGCAGTACACTTTTGAATCAATTGTTAAATTGTCTGGTAAAAGCTCCAAAAAAAATTTCCTTAAAATCCCACCAAAGAGAGCATCTCTCTTTAAGAACATGTGGAACCCATATATCAAGCTTTAAAACAAAACCAATTTGTTTCAAGTAATCATAAACAGTTCAATTTGACAAATTTAATCTCTTAGTGATTTCACGTGTTGTTATTCGGCAGTTTGCTTCAATCAGTACCTTTATTTTGTTTTCATTGGCTTCAACTGGCCATCCAGAACGTGGTGCATCTTCAATATTGAAATTGCCAGAACAAAATTTTGTAAACCAGTTTTGGCACTGTCGTTCTGTCAATATATCTTCTCCATATACGTCACACAATTTTTTTCTCGCTTGAACAGCATTCTTACCTTTACAGTAATAAAAGAGCAAAATATGCCAAAAATGCTGCTTTCGATCTTCCATATTTGATGGGACACAAAAAATAAATAATTGCACAAAATCAAACAAAATTTTTTACAAATAAGCCTTAAAATGCTAGCTGTCAAAATATATAATGACAATATGGTTTAGAATGAAAATGGCGGAAAAATATGACTAATCCATCTAGTGGTAAAAAACGAAATTACTTTCCGAACAAACCATATAAATTAAGGTAAATGGTGAATAAACTTAAAATGTTATAAACTTACCAAGAAGTATATTTTTTGTCCTTATAAAATTTGTCTCCTGTCATTCCAAATGAAATATTCCACGTTGAAATTTGTATTGTCTTGTTTTCAAAATATGCAGAAATAATACTTTCTAGAGGAATTTGATCAGTTTTCATTACATTGTATATTTTTACATCAGTTGACAGTGAAACTGTTGAGTCTTTATCAGTATATGCAACTGGTTTCCAAAGAAGATAACTAGCACATAAATTACTACAGTTTGATGAAGCAGTCAAGAGTTTAATTGTCTGTGGAAAAAATTTTTAATTGTGTAATTAATATTACATAATTGTATTATGTTATTTTTGAATTTTAACAAAAACTAAATCCATTTTCAACCTTTACATCAAATAAAATTATTAATTTTCTTAATAAAAAAAATCAAAATAATAAATTTATAAAAATGTAAATTTCTAATAATAATTTTCGTGAAATACAGTGTGACCTCAGTTTATAAGTTCTTAATATACAAGAATTGAATATAAGCTATTTACTTTTCTTATTGCTCTTCCTGATTTACAAAAAAAATTATTCAACATACTAAACACCAAGCAATATTTATGAAAACAAAATAATGTACAAAATAAAGATAAAAATTCCAGCACACTCCAATTATATGATTCCTATGTTCCAGTCACCATTTCCTTTGTTTCTTTCATGTCATGTCTTCATTCACTACAGGTAATGATATTTGCTCTAATGAAGTTGTAATAGTTCAATGAATTCTCTCTACATTACAATCCTTCTATTGGCAATTACAATTTCACTAGTTAAAAATAAATTTTATTTGTTTTCTGTTTAGTTACTGTTTACTGTCTTAACTAAATTTCATTTTCTTATCATTAAATTAAGAAATGTCTAATAACTTACATATCTGCTTCTCTTAGGCTTTATTTGTTTTTCTCATTTCATTTTTTTTTCTCTTTTATATTGGTAATGTTATTTTATTTCATTTCATTCAGAATCATTAACTGTCATTAACTGACAAGTAAATATGTGTTCTGAAAAACTTTAACCTTATGAAGAGAACATGAGTGGGATGATTGTTATGCCAGAACAAATTTCAAATTTCAACCATAAAAATAATGGATAGGTTTGTTCCTATTTACAAGATTTTATGTTAAGCAAAATTTTAAGAAATGAGAAACACTTATAAATCTGAGTTACACTGTAATATTTTTATTATTAAATCTCAATTATGATAAATATAATGGAATTATATCAAGATATAAACTATATTTAATTCAGAACTAAATATTACATGTTTACTAAGGAACCACTAAAATTTAAAAATAGAAATAAATAATTTTTAATGTTGAGTTAAAACTAATATGGCTACATTACTATAATTAGAATAAAACTTAAACAACATGTAGAAAAGAAGCTGGAACATTTTTCCCAGTTAGTACATTATAATAATACAATTTGGATGCAATTATAGTGCAATCACAAAATCCCTCTGCAGTGGGCAGGGAAATGGGAGGAGCTTCCAGAAACAAAGTAATGATGTTAGGCAGACTACATGTTGAAAGAGTTAAAGTGAGTTATGACATCATCACTTGGTGGAACCACACTATATGGTCCACTGCAGAGAGACTTTAGTATCACACTGTATAAATGTATTTACTAGTAAGAGATTATAATCTATTAACCTGTATTAAGTTTTAGTTTCAGTTAAAATAAAGCAATATAAATAATTCAAAGTTTTAATAAATTATTTTAAATTATAAAAACTATATTAAATTATTAAGACTGATTGCATACACTAAACACTCCTGGAGTGAATTCATCATCAAGATTGCTGCTCTCTTTCTTATGAAGTGTAGGCTCATTTTCTTCAGAATTATATATTGCCATAAATTCCACAGCATATCTGGATTTTGTACTATTAATTTTCAAATTGTTTAAAATTATTCCAACTTCATTATTGGCAGAATTATGTAAGAGTCGAGGTGGTCTCTCTCCACGATTATCATCACTAAATGCTGATAACTGTAACAGAAATTGTTTACAACTGTTTCACTTTTTAAAAATAAATACGAATGTTTAAATTAAATACTAATGATAATTGTTTATTAGAAATATAACATTTATATAACTGCATTATTCTAACCTTTTATTTTAAACCTTATTATTAGTCTGTATTTTCATTTATATAAAACACTTGTAATAACCAAGCATATTGTTATAAAATACAATAATAAAGACATTAATTGTAATATTGATTTATTTTTAATTCAAAACAAAATATTACAACATATGATTAATATGAATAAAATAGTTTTTAGTATTTAAAATTTTCTGTTTTATTTTGATATTTTAAATATTTTTCAATAATTTTAATTTAATGAAAAATATATAATTTAACTAGAAAAAAAATGATAACATGGTATCACTATAAGGAATTTTTTGTTCAACAATATATGAATCAAAAAGTAACATTTATGTAAGTTGCATAACTTACATATTTATGTAAGTTATGCAACTTACATAAATATTATGTAAGTTGCACAAAGATTAGCATAAGAGATCAAGGTTACTATAAACCACATATACAATATTTTCTATGAAAAAGAAATTAAGGAAGAGTAAAAATATACAGGTAGTCCTCAGTTTACGCCGCAGTTTCGTTCCTATAAAAGCCAGTGCAAATCAAATTGGCATAAAATGAACTCATATTTACAGTGAGATATAGGGTTAGGTTCTACATAAGTGAAAAATAAGCAAATAATTTTGTTTATTAATACAGGTATACCTCGCCTTACGTCGGTAATTGGTTCCAGGAGAACGACTTAAGTCGAAAAACGACGTAAGTCGAATTTACTTGTCTCCGAATCTATTTGCCACTAGGCTAAACCATAAATAACCAATTCCCGTTCTGTATTTTATTTATTAATGCATTTTTAATAATGTATGGTTAATAAGGATCTATTTTAAGCTTACAAACAAATAAATTTTAGTTTTTAATATAGTACAGAAAAAAGTAATTTAAATTTATGAATGCATGTACTGTACTGTAAATACAGTATATACTTGTAAATGTATATATTATAATATGATTTTATGTGCTTTAAACATTTTTCTAGTGATGTTACGACTTTAATATTTGTGGCGGACAGACATAAAGTCGAATAAAATGACTTAAACTTGATTTTTATTTTTCCATATACAGTACTTTCTTGACAAACGATGTATAATCGGGAACGACGTAACTCGAAACGACGTAAGTCAAGGTATACCTGTACAATATAATACAAAATACATATATTATAAATTTAATTTTTTAAAATGTATTTTATGATAAAATAAAATGAGATGGGGGTTCGAAAATGTTTGTTTATCAATCTTTTTACGTGATCACACCGTAAATTGGTTCTAGTACGTAATTTTTTAGTATATCCGGTGTGACGAATAGTGAATTATCATAAAATGAAATGTTTTTATTAAAAAAATCTTAAGAAAAAGAAATGATATTTCAAAGTTTCGGATCTCTTATATTTTTTGGAAAAATGTATCCATTTGTAATTGTTTAGATTTTTGTTTTCATTCATTAATAATTTCAGAATATGGTCAAATGGATGCAATGATGCTCCTTTTCACATTTGCACTTCACTCCCAATCATTGTCTAACTCACAAAGTTCATCTGTCAAACTCTCCATAGTTGAAAGGATACGCTAACCCAAAATAGAGCTACAGACGAGCAGAGATGCTGATTGGTTGACCGCCGGCCACTGTAGTGCATATATAAGGTCAGTTTGGGCGGAAAAATCAAAGTTGGTTTCGTCTCACTAAGCAGAGAGTTAGATATTGTCTAACTGACGAGAAGTAGATATTGTCTGGCCAATAAGAAGTAGATTTTGTCTCACTAACGGTAATTTGTGATTGCCAGAAGTGCTACTGTGTCATAAGGTGTTTTCCTGAATGAACTGATACAGGATACAAACTATTTGCATTCATTAGCACTCTGGATTCAGACAACATTTATTGGACTATTGTTTAATAACTTGACTCGTGGGAACCTAAACATTTAGTATTTTAATATTAATTTAATGCAAATGCATACATGCCCAATCAGATTAAACAGAAAAAATAAATATATTCAACAAAAATCTTTATTTTAATGAATGTACAATGTTGTGGCTCAGTAAATATGTCAACACTGAAATGAAAATCAGTCTGGCATAGGAAAAATAGGGGAATTACACTGCAAAATGGGGATATGTTCAGCGGCTTTATTGTGAATAGATGTAAATTGAGCCGACATAAACTGAGGGCTACCTGTATTTGATTCTGAATAGGAATGATGATAAAGTTCTTCAATAGTGTTAAACATTCTTAGATAATAAGAATCAGTAGAACACCTAGTGCCACTGATTGATTTTCTTTGGAGGGTGCCAGGGTCCCTGGCATCCTCCAAAGAAAAAGGAAAACAAACACTAAAAGATTTTCCAAAAATCTTTTCCTAATTAAAATTCATTTCTTATTTATACTGTGTTGTATCTTCTACTTCTATACTACTTATGAATTAGTAGTCACATAAGGTGGAAACTTTTTATCCATTTAACTCAATCTTGGGGGGCTAAGTCCCGAGTGCACATCTGATAAGAATATTAAATAAGAAGTATCGAGATCAATTTATCACATCTTCACTAATAATATTGAATTTTTTTCAATGTACAGAATTAGTTATGAATACATGTTATATTTCAATTTACACAATATAGTTAAAAAAGTAATGTAAATATAGTTAAAAAAAATTAGAGTAATTATATAAGTTATTTGAAAAATTACATATATCAGTAATTAAAAACACTAAACAGACACAAGAAATATAGTAAATCAAATATTGGATTCCCAATGTTGGTAAGTATTTTGCTTATAAGTTTTATCACCATTAACCAGATCCAGAAGAACAGAACTAGAAGCTAAAATTTCTATATAAAATAAGTTTTTAAATTTCTATAACTTTCTACATATTACAATTTTTTACTATCATAATTTACATAATTTATAAAACACAGCAGGATTGGATATTAATCTGAATGGATGCTAATTCATTCAGATACTTATAACAGATTTCATAATTACACTTTTTCAAGCAAAATTAATTTTAAATATGTTAATTCAAATAAAATTACAGAAATGTAAATGTCATATATTTATAACAATATGTCTTAAGAAAAATTATTCATTACGTAAGTGCACACACTTTTATTTAGTACATCTTGAACTTTCTTAATTTTGTCAATAGTAGTAAATCATTTATGCCCAAAGGAAAAATTCAGATATGCAACTTAATGAAGAAAACTACATTTAATTCACTATGAATTATTTACTTTTTCTCAAATACAAAAATTATATTTTATTGTAAAATTTTCAGTAATATTTTTAATTGCTTGTTATTAATAAAAAGATCAGTATAATGGAATTTAATATACATATAATTGTGCCAAAAATTTAAAAAAATCATATTAAAAAATTTTTCAATGTAGCTAAAGATAAATTGTTTTACTATGTCATACCTGAAAGATAAAGTTGCCTTTTTCAAGAAACTCTGTAGAATTTTCACTTGTTTCAAATGTAACAGAACACAAATCACTATTATTTGTTATTTTATCAGAAAATGTCCAATTAACACCAGAAAAGTCCATTGATTCACAAACATAATTGGTCATATTTCCAGTATCGTCTGCATCATCATATCGTAAAAGCTGGAAAAAGCAAATAAAATTATTTATAACTTACTATTTTATTATAACAGTTGAATATAGTTTTTAAATAAATTCAAAATTAAATAAAAATTATCAAAATAAAATAATTTCATTTACATGTATATGAGCTACCATGTAGAATTCTATCCATATCATTTGCCAAAGAATTTACATATGAAGTCAAATACAAATTTATCCTTTATTTCAATAGATTGTAATGTATTTAGACCTTAAAAGTCCTACCCAGATAGGACAAATCTGTTTTATGTAAAACAGATTTATTAAATTTAATAAATTTAATTTGAAATTAATCTGACCAGACAAATCTGTTGGCAAATTAATCAACTACCTTCAGCCAAAATATATAACATTTGTATATTTAAATTAGCCAAAATGTAGGCTGCTAATAATTACACTACTAATCACATATTAAATAACACTTGAATTACATTACTAATCAAATAACAAAGTGTTATTTGATTAGTAATGTAATTCAAGCTTAATTTTGTATTAGTTGTTCAATTCTTTAATGGATAAACTTATATTTTGATAATTAAAAAAACTTTACTTTTTAATCAGATTTTATATTTGTAAATCTATTAATATCATTTCCTCAGTTTTTGAAATATCTTAATTCCATATTTTCATACAATTTAAAAAATTTATCAAAGCAATCTGTAATGTTTCAATGGAAAATAATGTGTTTTTGATTATTCTGCATAATTACTTTTATTAAGATCTTTGCATTTAAATATAATCCTCATTTGGTATCATTTAACTTTTAGTTAATATTGTCACTTTTGTCAGAATGAGATCCTTTGGTGTTCAATTACTGTTGTCAAATTTAAATGTTAAAAATTCAATTTTGATAAATAAAATTATAGCAATTTCTTTGGAAAAATTTAATATCATCCAAAATAAAAATGAAGTGAAATTCAACATACCGTAAATAAAAGCACTTTTGCTTCTATTATTAAGGTTTCACTAATTAGAATATGTAATGTTTCACTAATTAGAATATGTAAGAAACAACAGAAAATAATATAATTTAAATTTATTGGCTTTAACTTTTAAGTGTTTACAAGAACATGAAATTTTAGCTAAAAATGAAGTACATTTTTTCTAGGAAAAATATCATTTTTTCTTCAGTTCCATTCTAATTTAAAATTCTATTATTTCAATAATATTAAAAATATTTGTAGTGTACCAATTTTAATTTTAAGTACTGTGAGGAACTGTGACTGAGACACCACTGTGAGGTGATGACGTAGTCTGATGCTATTCGCTTTAGGGTCAATCTTAAGGTGAAAAGGTTACGACCCGCGCTTTGCCTGCAATTTGTCAGGATGACGTGAGAAAGCCTTTTTACATATAGGGGTAGTGATTTGCTGGACACAGAGAGACCAAATTGACAACATTAATGTTGTCAATTTGATCTCTGTCTAACATTTATTTGACAAAGACATTCATACAGATAAAGTTAAAGTCTATCCAGATGAACGTTTCTTTCCCAAACAAAACAGAATTCATCTCCAAGGATAAGTCAGAAACGAGAAAGCTCATCTCCAATCCAAGGTGTTTCTGGAGGCTGGGAGAGTGGAGATCCATGCCTGGAAGTTAGATCTCTGTTCGCACTGGTCCAGTTAGAGAAGTGTGCTTGGAAAGTTAAGTTCCTCACTCTTGCCACACTCATTCAAGTTTTGAGTCTTCTCCTCTGTAATCCTGGTTAGAATTTTAAGAACGAACTAACTTGTTCCTGATCTCCCACTCACAACTGCCCTGTGTCCTTGGGATTTCGGGCTTTTATATAATTTTTACCTGAAATCCTGAGGCTTTGATTGCTCCGAACGATGGTCCCCTGAAGCTTCATTGGTCCCTGGTCTGTTGTCAGGGACATGATTCGGGCCATGGGGTCACCAAACATCTCTGTCCAGAGTCGGGTCACCAAACGTTTCCCTCCAGAGTCGGGTCAAACCCTTCCCTGGATGATGGACCCATAAATTTTATTCTAATGTGTGTTTTTCTGTCCCGGAGAAGATGCAGCTGTCCCAACCAACACCCCTCCACAGGATTGTCAGCAGGTCCCGCTTGAACTCTCTGTAAGGTGATCGTCCAAAGTTACCCGGGCAAACAATCCCTCTCTTGCTCTCACAATGTATGATCAGGGATCTGTCAATTAGGTCTGGAATGTGACAATTAAATCGTCTCACACCCTGTTCCTCGGCCACACCGGTCCTGTTTATGAAATAAGTCACCAATTTATTGGCTTTAACCCAACAGCGAGTTTCCCATCGGCGGAGTGATGTCCCGGCTTCACAGTTCTGTGTAAGATAATATATTTTATTTGTTCATAAGTAACATCTTTTACATAAAAAAAAAGGAACTGAAAGCTTGCTGTGTGGTGTGCTTGCAATTGGCAAGTACACCACACTGCAAGCGGAAGCTGCAGGTTCAAGCCCCACCACAGGCCAGTTTTCTTCCAGACGGTTGTAAATTATTTAATAAATTATTAAAATTATAATTATTAATTTAGTTAAGAGATGGCACCTAACATCTACCTCTAACAGCAAATTACTTTGTATTAATTATTTAATTAACAGAATTATAGTCCGATCATTTAGGCAATCGTTGGATGTTTCTATAAAAAAAAAATAAATTAACTTAAAAATTAATTATTGCATGTTACGTTTTTTTAAATGCTCTGTTAATAATAATTAACAGATCATTTAAATTAATATTTTTTATTTTGTGTGTTAAAATTATTAATGTTCTCTAAATTCAAGTTTTATATTTTTCTGTTGTTCTTTTACATTCTAACTGATAGAGTCAGTAATAAAGGCAAAAGCACTTTTATTTATAGTTGTATACTAGAAATCACTTAACAGGATTTAGGAATATTTACGATACACATTAATCTTAATAAATAAATCCATTTCTTTAGATTAAATTTGAATAACCTTACAAATAGACAAATTAAATAATACATTTTAAGTCACAGAATGTGAAATTTAATTCTTGTTGAAAATGCAGACAAAAAGCATCTCTCTTCAATAAAAGCCACATTTACCTGCTTTAATAATAATAATAAAAAATTCCAGTAATGAGTTGCATAACTTTCCCATCTTCACCAGGAAAGTTTGCAAAATGCTCTTTTGTCAGACTCCATTTGCTAAAAGTTATGTTGCTCTAAGCACTGCTCCCCTTTCTACAAAAATTTCCTAGAACAAAATTATTTAAAATAAAATTGTGTTTGGCACCATCTGTTATGAGATTTTATTAAAAATAAATTATATATTATTAATTATTATAAAATGATAAAAAGCTTAATTTTGAGTGTAGTGATGAGTTTTATAAAGAATTGTAAATGCTAATAACGAGTAAANCAAAATTGTGTTTGGCACCATCTGTTATGAGATTTTATTAAAAATAAATTATATATTATTAATTATTATACAAAGGCAAAGGCTTAATTTTGAAAGTAGAGATGAATTTTTTAAAATATTGCAAATGCCAATAACAAATAAACTTTTCATTATGTCCAACTGCACTTGAGATATGATGTGTGACCCCATCTACCTTGATCTTTAACCACAAAAATTTAATAGCACCAAGGCTCCTTACACAAAAGTTACTATGACAAATTTCATTTCTTAATGGTTATCCCATTCTGAAATATTAAAAAAAAAAAAAATAGATTCCAACACACTCATCCATGGTATTTTCCCCTTTTTTGACTTTTGGGTTCAGGAGGTCTCAAAAACATGGATATTTGCAAAAAATTGAAAGATCAAATTTGAAGATTCCAATAATTTCCCTTGTTATTCATACATAACAGCCAGAAAAGTAAAATGAAAAGTTTGACTGGAAGCAGATTAATTTCAAATCCATCGTTAAAATCATTCTTGGATGATATTCATCCAAGAATGGTTTCAGAATTACAGAAATAATTTAAAACGACTGCCCAAATCATCTTTATATGTCACCAATGTTACTCAAGGATTATTACAACCCATGCCAATTATCATCTTAGTTTAACAATGCAATGATAGAGCTGACAGCCAAAAAACTTTAGAGAAAGTTTAATCATCAGTTACCTTCAGTTTTGATATAAACCATCTATCAAAGACTCGAGAGTAATTTTTATGCAAAGAGAATGTTTTGTGTCCCCTCAATTCTTTTAATAGGAGTCCTTGTTTGAACTAGTCAAACACCACTTCTTTTAGAATCCAGACCAGCTTTCTTTATACAAATGAATCAATTTAAGAAATTATTCTCAATGTGTCTTCACCAATAAGGGACTTATATCTCCAATATCAGATAAAGACCTCATTAATGGCAGTAGTCTACTTGTCTGGAGTGACAAATTACTGAGCAGAAGGATTGCCATTCTGTTTGTACTTTGATTGTTCCTTACTAAAAGCAAAACGAAGTTTTCTAGGAGCTAATAGAACCTAATTTCTTTTACTGAAAAGTGTTCATCTATATCAGTGTTTTTCAACCTTCTTGAATACACGACCCCTTTACAAGTTAAAAAATTCTGGCGATCCCCTAGGGCCATATTAAAACTATATCAGTGATTTTAAAAACTATGTATTTAATTTTCTTTCTATTGAGACAAATTATTGTTGATTAAAATGAAAGTTTCAGCAGAATCGACAATAATTTAGGCACATGGAACTGTTGACTTTTTTTTTTTTAGGAACTCAATTTTCAGCTTCTACTTTTCTGCTTTTTATTTCCTTTTGCAAATCAGCTCAACACTTTTTCGGCTATCATTTTCTGGGATGGGCCGTAATTCTCGCTGAAATTGTAGTTTTTTTAATGTAGTGTAGGACCTACAAACACTTGTCTCTTTTACCCACAACCCCCCATGTAAGGCTTCACAACCCCCCTGGGGGATCGCGACCCACAGGTTGAAAAACACTGATCTATATAATATTTAACAGTATAATTAAAAATGAAAATGGTTGAAGAAGTGAATTAAGCAGATTTCTAAATACAACATGCATTATTATATTCTAGAGAAATGCCTTGGAATTAAATGGACTCTCATCAGAAGCTTTGAAAAATAGAAATTACAGGTATACCTCGACTTACGTTGTTTCAAGTTACATCGTTCCCGATTATACATCGTTAGTCAAAAAAGTATATGGAAAAATAAAAATCAAGTTTAAGTCATTTTATTCGACTTTACGTCTGTCCGCCATAAATATTGAAGTTGTAATATCACTAGAAAAGCGTTTAAAGCACATAAAATCATATTAAAATATATACATTTACAAGTATATACTGTATTTACAGTACAGTACATGCATTCATAAATTTAAATTACTTTTTTCTGTACTATATTAAAAACTAAAATTTATTTGTTTGTAAGCTTAAAATAGATCCTTATTAACCATACATTATTAAAAATGCATTAATAAATAAAATACAGAACGGGAATTGGTTATTTATGGTTTAGCCTAGTGGCAAATAGATTCGGAGACAAGTAAATTCAACTTACGCCGTTTTTCGACTTAAGTCGCTTTCCTGGAACCAATTACTGACGTAAGGCGAGGTATACCTGTACTTCAAAATCTTATCTACACAAGTCATTGTTGCACAAGCTGTTTAGTTGTGAAAAATTATATTTTTTTAATTAATTTTCTCAGTTTTGAATCTCATGATTTATCAAAATGAACATTAAACATAATAGCTTCTCATTTTTTAGAATGACGATTTAATATTTCTTAGCATACAACACAGAAGTTTCAAATTTTATTAAGTGTGATTTGTTTATTTTTCAATAATATATTTTTGAATTTCAATTTTGGACATTAGTACTGTATATAGATTAACTTAATCAATATAAATGTTCATTTAGAATCTGATAAAATGATTTAAAACAATTCTAATATTTTTGTATTAATCAACCAACTTCAAGAGTACAACTTTTCAAGATAATATAATTTAATATATTCAGAAATTACATTAAGTTAAATATATAAATGTGTAATTTTGGAAAATATCAATGTTCTAATAAAAAGTTTTCTTAATTTTTAAATGCAAATAGTATTTGACAAACATGTTTTTAATTTTTCAATAGTCAGCAAAATATAGAATTAGATAAGAAAATCCAATACATTTATTTAAAAATTCTTATCAGGACTTTTAAAGTTGATCATTATCATATCATTATTAAACACACATTATATATAAAAAAAAACCATATTTGGAAATAGTCAAAGTATTTATAGCATGACTATATGAGTATGTTTGTATGTATGATTTGTGTGAGTGTGCTTCAGGAACACAATTAATGCATTAATTGTGTTTCTGAGGCATACTCACACAAGATTTATTCAAATTAGGATTAATTATCCCATAGAAACACATTAAACTTTGTTGGGATATGTTCCACAAACACAAACATTCACAAATTTGACAAGTTTTTTACTTATACAACTAAATTCAAATTAACAGAATATTAAAATAACTAACATAAAATTAAATGAAACTTGTAATAAAAATCTAATCTACATGTACTATATAAATAAAAAATATTTTATTAATAAAAATTCAATTGGACTATTGAAATTTGATCATCTTCCTGTTTTAAATTAAAATCAATAAAATTATACTGTTTGAGTAACCTTTTTAACCTTTATAACAGAGTAAATAATTTCATTAGTGCTAAAGTCGAATGTTTTAAAATACTTTAAAGTATAGCTTTCTTTTCTTTAATAACAATATTGGACAATACAGGTTGACCATCAATAATCCAGCAATTGGTAATCTGGTTCCGTCATTAATATGGCACTAATTTCAGCTATCATAATTTCAAATTTCCACACCAACTAGCTGCTGTTGTTTTAGGTGCTCAATGTTGACAGGTGTATGAAAATGACAAAATATATGACAATAATTTTTGTTTCATTCTTTGTTAACCAACTTATATTGATTTGCCAGATACTTTAAAGATAGGATGAAATGGTTAGCTGCTGGGTTAGGTATATTTTAACCTAATCTGGCAAAATCACTTATCTAGTACCTTACTGGTCCCAATGATGTCAGACTAATGACAGTCAACTTGTCTTGTTATTCATTTCCATGTTTTTAATTATATTTATTACAAAACAAAATGACAATGGTAATAAAATAATGCTTCTGAAAAATGAATACAGTTGAATCTCCATATTCAGGATCAACACTTTCCATGAAAAGGTGAAATTCTGAGAAAATACTGAAATAGCCTCAGAATTTTCTATGCATGTCTAAACATTTATGCAAACCATCTACGAGGTCTGTTAAAAAAAATACACAGACTGTTTGAATTGCACGGCTCCAGCAGGTTCAAGGGGAATCCGCTTGGTGTCACTAGGTTTGTACAGATCGTCTGGTGATAAAGCTGTTTCCCGATTACAGATATCTTTATTTGTTGATTAGCTATGCAGTTTTTAGTGAAGTGCAATTTTTTTCGTTTGTTGGATTTCAGAATGAATGATCTGATGGAGCAGTGACTTGCTGTGAAATTTTGTGTTAAACTTGGAAAATCTGGACTGAAACATTTGCTATGCTCAACACAGCATACGATGACGTTGCTATGAAGTATACGGTATGTTTGAAGTGGTCCCCCAGACCAAAAAAAGCTTGTCAAGTTCGATCCAATGTCAAGGTGATGACGACAGTTTTCTTTGATGCTAAGGGTGTTGTTCGCGAGTACCTCCCCCAAGGCTCCACAGTGAACCAGACTTACTACATTGAAGTTCTGAAACGTCTGAGGGACGCCATCTGTCGCAAAAGGCCAGAAATGTGGAAAAGTGGCGACTGGTTTCTCCATCACGACAATGCTCCAGCCCATTCAGCCCTCAGAACTCGTGAGTTTTTGGCCAAACACTCGATCACTGTTCTTCCCCAGCCCCCCTACTCACCTGACCTTGCTCCTTGTGACTTTTTCTTGTTCCTCAAACTCAAAAGACTCTTGAAAGGAAGAAGATTTGAGACGATTCCCAAGATTAAGACAAATGCAACAAAGGCACTGAAGGACATTACAAAAGAAGTGTACCAGGAATGTTTCAACAAGTGGAAACACCGTTGGGATAAGTGTGTGCATTGGGAAGGAGAATACTTTGAAGGGGACCCAGACATGTAACTTCTACATAAAGTACATTTTGTTTTATGACGTCAGTTCGCATATTTTTTGAACAGACCTTGTACAATTAACAGAAGAATGTATAAATGAATTTAAAAGGTATTATTTTTATTTTACAATAATGAGTAACATTTTAAACTCCTCTTTCTGAAGTTGTCCTTTCAGGAACTTTATGATGGGAAGCTACTTTTATTTGAACTCATTGAACTGTGTGAAGTGCTTAAGTATTATTAAGGTTTCCCTTAAACTACACTGCATAAAGGGCATCATCTCGTTAATAGTAGTAGTTTTCAAGGCATTTAGCATCATGCAATCTGAAGATGTGCATGCTCATCAAAGTAAGCTGCAGCATGATTTTTAGTATGATAAATTTTGTGACTACCATTGAAAATACATTAATATGCAAATACAAATCCCATTGAATATGAAGACTGAACTGTATAAAAGTTTTAACATAAAGACTCACCTTTGTCAAAAGCATAGCAAATGAATAGAGTGGTTTTTCTGTAAATGATATTGCATTTTTAGGATGATCAGACAAAAGAACTGTCCAGTTAATTCTAAGTTGCACACTAAGATTTGTTTGAACTATTAAGGCACTAGGTATTCCTCCTTGTGTACTCCATAAATAATGAAGTATATCATTAGGACCAACTGCTTCCGTATAAAAAATAGATACTTTTGAAGACTTGCATTCTGGATATTCATCACAATCTGGATTAAGCAAGAGAGATAACTAGAAAATATTAAATATTAATAAAATATTTATACAGGATGACTATAATTGTAATTATGTATATTTGTTGCAATTTAATAACAGAATTACATCATTAAAACTAAAATTTATTCCAAAGATCATCTCTAAATTCTTTAAAATTTGATAAACCAACATTTCCCAAAAATCAATAGGGTCATTAATTAATTAAAATATTTCTGAAAACAAGTTTCCAATATTATATTAATAGAAAACTGCAAGAAATCAAAATATATCTTTTATTTAAATTAATGTGCTATAATCAGAATTATTTTGCCACTAGAATACTTTTAATCTCTGAAGTATTTAATTTAATTATATTACTCATTTCTAAAATTATACATATATGAAGTAAACATCTAATAGTTCAGCATCACTAAAAAAAATAGAAGTTCCAAATTATTGGATATTTCAAACTGTTAGAAATTCATAGGCCTTATTTTACAATTATATATTTATTAAAAAATTATATTTGTTACATAGCATAACTAAAAGCTATAACATCATCTAAAAATCATTACTAATAGATATAAGTTATTTTTCTCTATCATGGTGATATTTTCTAATAATGAATTAAACCATTATGAAATTTTGAATAAGATAGAAATACATAATTTTAAATATAAAATCTAGACATAAACATATTTCTTTTAAAATAAAATGCTAATATCATTTTAAATGAAAAAATTATTTAAGAAATACAGGGTGCTTAAAAAAAAAATATGGAGAAAGTGTGCAGTCATTCAAGCAGGGATAATAGATCTGCACTTATTTTTGAGAACTTAAAAAATGGTTTGTGACTTCTTGCACATGAACTATACAGATGACAACCTGCCACTACAAATCTGATGATATGTTACTTTCATAGTAGTGTTAAAAATATGTTATATATTTTTGAAGCACTATATAAATACAGTCGACCCCCCCCTATAACACTGTTGATTATTCCGTTTTATATGAATTCCATGTTGTACGAGTCACTTAGATGCTAAAGTCGAATGTTTTAAAATACTTTAAAGTATAGCTTTCTTTTCTTTAATAACAATATTGGACAATACAGGTTGACCATCAATAATCCAGCAATTGGTAATCTGGTTCCGTCATTAATATGGCACTAATTTCAGCTATCATAATTTCAAATTTCCACACCAACTAGCTGCTGTTGTTTTAGGTGCTCAATGTTGACAGGTGTATGAAAATGACAAAATATATGACAATAATTTTTGTTTCATTCTTTGTTAACCAACTTATATTGATTTGCCAGATACTTTAAAGATAGGATGAAATGGTTAGCTGCTGGGTTAGGTATATTTTAACCTAATCTGGCAAAATCACTTATCTAGTACCTTACTGGTCCCAATGATGTCAGACTAATGACAGTCAACTTGTCTTGTTATTCATTTCCATGTTTTTAATTATATTTATTACAAAACAAAATGACAATGGTAATAAAATAATGCTTCTGAAAAATGAATACAGTTGAATCTCCATATTCAGGATCAACACTTTCCATGAAAAGGTGAAATTCTGAGAAAATACTGAAATAGCCTCAGAATTTTCTATGCATGTCTAAACATTTATGCAAACCATCTACGAGGTCTGTTAAAAAAATACACAGACTGTTTGAATTGCACGGCTCCAGCAGGTTCAAGGGGAATCCGCTTGGTGTCACTAGGTTTGTACAGATCGTCTGGTGATAAAGCTGTTTCCCGATTACAGATATCTTTATTTGTTGATTAGCTATGCAGTTTTTAGTGAAGTGCAATTTTTNGACTCAAAATAATTTAAAAAGACAAATTACAATAAAACGGTTTATTATCCAACTATCAGAAATTTCACAACATGCCAAGGAAGAGAGGAAGGAGCAATTAAATAATTAAAATTATAAAGGATTAAAAAATATATATATAAATGGGGAATATCGCGCTTCTGACAATCGCTGCGAGTGTGTGGGCTAAATTTGGAGAATCCATGCTTCTCGCGTGTACAACTGTACGTGGCCGGCTCATGCGTCAGAAAACCTTCTGATTTATTCGTGTACGCACCAGACGGAGAAACAAAAAATATCGTGTATCCACGAGCACTCCAATAAATAAATAGAATTGAAACAACACTTTGAAATGTTTTCCCGATGAAAACGAATAATAATAATAAGTTTCAATAAAAATGATAAAATGAAAATTTAATTTTATCATTACGAGTTTGCTTGAATTTCGTTTCTTCTGAGATCACAGCAATGCGCGACGGGTAAGCTAGTTGAACATAAAATCAAATCCTAACATTTATAACGTTAATTAAAGTCTAAACAATTCGTATGTATAATTCTTATAATCATAAGATTCATTTTTTGGCAGTAAAACCTTAAAATTATAAAATCAACTTAGTAATCATCACCTAGTCTCTATTCATTAGTCATAATAAATAATATAATGAACTAGCAATTAGACATCTTTTCTGATTTAATAAAATAGGCTTTTAAAAACATCAGAGCATTTACAGCTTTGTCCGACAATCTGTTTATGATTTTTGTAATAATGCCTCCGAACAGGGAGAACACTCTTTTGTTTTCAACAGATGTCGGTTTTCTTGTGTTTAAAGCTTTATAAAGTAGTTCCAAACTTTCAGTACGTTTTCCGGTTGCTTCAAATAATTGGAACTCCATTTTTAATGCTGCTCTTGATCTTTTTGCAAAAATTTCAGGTATATTTTCTTCGATTTTTTTGATTGCCTGTTCCATTTAACTTTGAAACGACTCATCGGATTCGTTGTGTACTGTACAGCTACTGGTACTGGGTTCAGTGTCCATTATTTCCAAATCTGGCATTTGGATACGAGGGATATTTTCAAAAAGTCTGTAATACAGATCTTCCGCAAAAGCAATAAGTGCAGTTTTATTCAAATTTGAAGTAAAAAAATCCGTACTTTGCGACTGAGCTGTGATGGCCAGTGTGCAAATATTTTACTAAACATATAACCCGTTGTGACCTTCTTTCTTCTAGATAGGCTTTCAATGTTTCAAAGAACCATACCACCAGATTATCATTTGTTATCATTGATTGAATTTTTTTCAGTAAAACATCAATTATTGCTTCGGCTGTGAGTAACGAAGCATTTTATCTGCTTAAGGCTTCTACAGCTATCTTGACTGGTTGCAATAAAGTAACAATTGATTGCAAAAGAAGAAGATTGTCTTCATTCCATTTGTCTAACATGTTTAAATCAATCAACGCTTTCTTTATGCAATTTTTGAGCTTCAAAAACCTTTCTGCCATTACAATTATAGAATTCCACCTTGTTTTGACATCCAGTAGTAAACTGAGTTCTTTTCCAAATTCTGATTTAATATTTCTGTAATTGACCGTTTTTCAGTGGACTTTTTCTAAACAATTTCACTAGGAATCGAGTTTCATCAAGCACTTTTTTAATTTCATCAATTGGTTGTAATGAGCAGTGTTTCGTAGCTGGCATTGCAGTCCTCTTCTTCATCAGAAGAGTTTTTATTCTCCATGATTTCATCCTCACTGTCATCAGTATCTTCAGAGGTAGAAGCTGTGGATGTGGCAGTAGCCTGATTTTTTTTATAAAATGTGTCTACAACTCCTAGATGTATTGCGTGGTTCAAGCATATTATCATCTCACTGGGCTATCCCTTCCAAACTTCTTCATTACGTTCGGACCATCGCTGGTGGTGGCCACAATAAGTTTTTCAAAATCAAATTGAAATCTTTTCAATATATCTTCAACTATTTGTCTGGTCGCTTCGGCACCGCACTTTCCGGGTATATACACTAATCCCAAATTGAAAACTTCTCCGTTCGCACCATGCAGACACAAATGAAAGTATCTCCGGTTTCAGATACTGGTCCATTCGTCAACTGAAAGACTGAAATGTATACCAGAAGTGACAAAATCTTTTAAAGTCTGAATCATTTCTTCTTTTCTCTCTTCATAATAACTCAATATGATTTTCATGACATCAATTTCGTTCTTAGGCATTTTATAACCTCTCTGGATAATACTCTCACGAATGAATTTACTCTTTGTGATTGCCCTTATTGTAAGTCCATCTTCTGCCGCCAAGCGAGAAATTATTTCAGGCAAAGACTTTTTTGCAACATATCCTATTATTGTAGACTGCTTTTCAGTTTTAATTTTTTTACATTTTGGTTCGCAAGATGTCGCAGGCTGTATAACTCATTTTGATTTTTCCAGCTGATTTACAAAAATATTGTGAACTCTTTGCAGGTGCCTGTCAAGGCCTGTAGTATTCGACCCATTACATGAAATTTGTTTTGGACATAATGAGCTCTGTGCGGTTGATTCATTTATTTTTTTATAATGTTTCCATACTTTTGATATACGTTCTATATTAAATGAATAGGTTGGTATCTATTTAAATTTGTTGACGATCTGAAACAATAATAATAATCCAAAATTAATGCTATATCTTTGTTTACTGAGTATCACTATCATATCAATTATTTTTTTTTATAAAATAACAAATCTCATCCAAGGTAAACGTCTAACTGAAGTAAACAAAATCTAATGTTTGTTTTAACTTACATGAGAAGGGCGTCGTTTCCACAAGAGCGTCGTAACACAACCGCGCACAGCACTTCACCTCAAAGTGAAATTGACGACTGACTGGCTGAGCTGACAGTGCTGACAAAGACAGTCACAAATATCATGATCTCATAAACAAACGTCACAAAATAACAATACGGCAGCGAACGCATTTGTAAAGATTGTCTCTTAACAGAGTAAGGTTAAAAGTCACATGGCCTTGTAAATTACCCCCACCTGCGTTGTTTATTTGTAAACAGGAGGGAGAACAAAGGAAGTGTCGCTCGGCTAACCTTTTGAAAATAAAATTATTACAATACAATTTCGATAAGCGTGTCTCAAGTCTTGACCCAAAAGTCCCGGGGCCTGAGACAATTAAATTTAGAAAAAGTCCCGGGACTTCGAGACATGAGACATCC